TGTATGTTGCTACAATATTTTTCGAATATGATTATATTGTAGGATTACCACATCCAAATATTTGTTTTGTCTACAATTAATAGATCAAATGGTATTCTACTCTCTGTTAAAATCTATTACATTACCTTTGCATTTTTGCATACCACTTTCTGATAGAGATCTAGAAATTGAATTTAGGGATGGAGGTTTATCATCAATCTATTTATGATGAAAAAGAATTATATTATGTCCTCTACCTACCAACATTCTAATATTTCTCATAAATAATTCTCTATCTGCTACCATGTCCCTCCATATTATGAATGAACCTATCTCCCCAACTCATTTCCCCATCAGGTTATGATCATTTTCCTACCCATATTTTTTAACCAAAACCTGATTATCATTATTTTTATTTCTCCTCCACTATTTAATTAACTGAGCATTATTTGTGAGTTTTAATCTTCTTATAGCCATACCCCACATCCTTTTTAAAAGTCAAAGTCTTATCTCATGATATTAAAGACTATATTTTCCTTTTCCTCATCTTCCCAGCCTCAATTTCCTTAAACTTTTTGCAACCACATGGGATCTTAATTAGCAACATATAATTCATAAGTAAATTTGATTATATGGATTCAATCGAAATTATCTTGCCCCCAAATAATAAAAACTTAGCTTTCTACAAATCTGACTTATATTGGAACCTTTGTAACACAAGATCTCAGATAGATCTTGGTGCTCTAATGTCACACACTATTATTGATGCCAATATAATTACTTTTCCGCTTGAAAATCCACTCCGGCTGATTTAGTTTTAAACATATTTTCTTACAGTAATGAAATCACCTTAAAACATCGAAGAAATCTTCTGCATATTATAAATATGAAACCTCATTTCTTGATTAGAGCCTTGTGCCCCTGCTAATAGTCTTGCCGCTTTCACTATTATTTATTTATTTATTTTTATTTTTTATAGTAAATGCATTGCTTATCAAAGTAAAGACAACGAGAGATAATAAGTCTCCCTACCTAATCCCCTTTGTATCCAAAAAAAAAAAAAAATCTTCCATTTATGATAATTGAAAAATGCACACTTAATGGGCATCCATCAATCCATGGTCTCCACCTAACACCAAACCCCTTTGTAATCATAATCTTCACTAAACACTCACCAATCTCCTGCTTTCTTGAAATCAAGTTTACATATAATTCATGACTTATTTTCAGCTTTCTTAGAGCTAATACATTCTTGCCAACCAAAATACTATATGTTGTTTGCCTTCCATGAATAAATGTAGGTTGACATCCTGATGCAACATAAGGCAATATTTCCTGCAATATCTTAGCTTCAAGTTTAGTTATAATCTTATACAATGATGTTAGTTAATATATAGGACCAATGTCATTGAACCACTCAATGAAATGATTAAAGCAATATAAGTAGCTTCAATAATTTATTTACTATTCATTTTTATAAAACCTTTGTTTCAAAAATTCCCAATATTGATGAAACAATGCTAAAAGGTATCCATCAAGTCCAAAAGACCTATCCCCCAATGGGCTAAACATAACTCCATGTATTTCAGCCATATTGAGAGGCCTTTCAAGCCATCTTATTATGTCAGATAGTAGCCATTTGAAAGGAACTCTATTCATATTTATTATTTAAATGATTAAGCTTTCCTAAAATATTGTATATTTGCCTCTTCAATATTTTCTGTTTTCCTTCTTCCACTCCTTGAATTTTGATACTACTTACTACTTAGGTTGTTTATTCTTATCTTGTAATTCACAATAAAAAAAAATTATTATTCAAATCCCCTTCTTTCAACCACTTAATTCTTTGACCGGTCTCCAATAATTTCTTCTAATCTTCAACATTTATGTAAAGCATACTTAATCTCCATTGTTTCTATATCGAGTTTTTGACTAATTTCTTTATATTCCTACTAAATTTGGTCAATCTTCGTACTTTAAGGCAACAAATTATCAACTTTTTAATATTATATGTTGTACTTTTCTTCCACTGATTTGCTTCTTTCTTATAACTCTTTGGACGCTCTAAATCCATATTATCCGTGGATGCTGTAAATCCATACTATCTGTTGACCATTGTCAATGACCATAATATTTATATAGTCTCGTCGACTATTTTTCCTGATAGCCATGCAATCTCAAACCTAAAATGAGATGGATGTTGTACATCTCAACTCCAACAATACTGGTGTCTAATGAATTGGATATTAGAAACCTATCTAATTTTGGCATTACAAGATTATTTGTACTATTATCGTTGGGATACCTGGAAATATATTGTCTATAAAATATATTACAGGCGTAATACATTACTGTGTAATACATTACATGCAAATGGATTGTTACTGTTTGGGTAATATTTAGATTTTGCTCTTACATTGCTCTTACTAGACATTTAATTTGACATCTTAATGTGACCTCCATTCACAAAAGATAAATGGTATCTTTGTAGACATTCCTATTTAATATTGAAATGCATATGTATAGATAATATGACCATACCACGCGTGTCAAGCCTCAAAGAATAATAAGTTAATAGTGCGAATTAATATTGGACATAAACATTGAGTGAACTATTTTAGTCCCAACCTTTAAATATCGTTAATTTGTAGTTTAAATAGTAAATGATGATGTATTTTAAAAAAAAATTATTGTGAAATGATAAAGTACTTTAAAAAAGAGATTGAGATATTGGAAGAAGTCAATATGTAAGTAATTTATCACTTCTTTATCGGTATCTAAACCCTAATCCCAAAAAATCCAAATATCCTTTTTTTTTTTTTCAAAAGATTTAGTAAATTTACCAGCATAGCTTCGAGAGAGAAAAGGGAAGCTCAATGTGTAAGTAATTTATCACTTCTTTATCTGTATCTAAACCCTAATCCCAATAAATCCAAAAATCCTTCTTCTTTTTTTTTTTCCAAAAGATTTAATAAATTTACCTCCAAGGCTCTGAGAGAGAGCAAAGAAGGAAAGCTCAAAGAGGGACAGAGAAAGGAGGCTCGAAGAGGGACGTAGAAGAGAAGCTGAGTAAAGAGGACTGAGAGACAGAGAAGGGAGGCTCGAAGAGGGACTGAGAAAAGAAGCTGAGTAAAGAAGACTGAGAAACAGAGAAGGGAGGCTCGAAGAGGGACAAAAAAGAGAAGCTTGAAGATGCACAAAGAAGAGAGGTGATGAGTAAAGAGGACTGAGAGACTAGAGAAGGAAGGCTCGAAGAGACAAAGAAGAGAGGCTCGAAGAGGCACAAAGAAGAGAGGCTGAGTAAAGAGGACAGAAGAGCAAACATAGAACATTTTGTTTCCAATAACGCAAGGTGGCTGATTATATGAGAAGAGCAAACATAAAACATATTGTTTCCAATAACTCAGTGCCTGATAAAGAGAGAGAAAGGTCGAGGAAGCAAGGAAGAGGAGAGAGAGTGGATCCTTGAATAGAAGCATGAGAGAGAGGGAAGTGGTAGGCAAAAGGAGAGCATGAGAGAGAGGGAAGTGGTAGGCAAAAGGGGAGCATGAGAGAGATGGAAGTCGTAGGCTTAGCAAGGCTGAGAAGTTTAGGGTCATGCAGAATGGACCGAGGCTGAGCAGTTTAGGGTCATGCCGTATGTATCAAGGCTAAGAAGTTTTGGATCATGTAATATGGACTGAGGTTGTGCAGTTTAGGTTCACGCAGTATGGAACGAGGCTTAGTAGTTTAGGGTCATGCAGTATGTACCGAGGCTGCACATATTAGTTTCATGTAGTACAGACCGAGGCTAAGCAATTTAGGGTCATGCAGTATAGGCCGAGGCTGAGCAGTTTAGGGTCGTGCAATGAGGACTGAGGCTAAGCTGTTTAGGGTCAAGCAGTATGGATCGAGGCTTAGCAGTTTGGGATCATGCAGAATGAAACGAGGTTGAGCAGTTTAGGGTCATGCACTAAGGACCAAGTCTGAGCAATTTAGGTCCGAGCAGTATGGGTCGAGGCAGAGCAGTTTAGGGTCATGCCCTATGGACCGAGGTTGAGTAGTTTAGGGTCACACTGTACGAAATGAGGCTAAGCAGTAGAGGGTCATGGCGTTTGGGCCGTGGCTTAGCAGTATAGGGTGGGTCCTACAATATGGACCGAGGCTGAGCAGTCATCGGTCGTACTGTATGGATCGAGGCTTAGCAGTTTAAGATCATGAAGTATGAACTGAGGCTGAGGAGTTCAAGAAATTTTATTTTGGACTTTGCGCCCATGCAATGGCACAACTTCAACCGCCTAATTTCAAATCTAACTACCAATAATGAGTGTGATCTCCTTGTATTCTAATAAAGCGCTCTTATTGTATACATTTCTCGAAAATAACAAATAGATGTTACAACAAAAAAAACCCAAAAATACATATTTTAGATTTTTAAAATTTTGTTTTTTTCATATTCATTATCATCTTGGCCTAGATCATGAAAATATAGTCTCGAACCCTAACACACCGAGGTCAACTAGACTTGCACTCGACATGTAGACCCGAGCTAGACTCGACGGGTAGACCCAACTTGGGTCTGGGTATAGACCTAAAAAATGGACCTAGCGGGTTGGGTATGGATTCAAATCTTCGTTTCAATTTATGGAATATATTCGATCTGAATCCCACATTCTATTTTTAAATTCTAGTTTATGAAATATATTTGAATATATAAATATTTTAATTTTTTGGAACGAATCTGCATCCCATCTTACATTTATGAGTTTGAGCCCGTAGAAAAATTTCAATACTTGTCCGAGAGAGCAGGTATTCAATTTATTTGGATTATGATTCGATAATGAGTCACTTTGTCTTGTGCATCGTAAACGAAAATGTAATGGATATTTTTACTTTATTTAGAATAAAAGAATATGAACTATCATTTTTTATGACTTGTAATTTCTACCTATTTCTCCGTTATTATTTTGAAATTAAAATTTTTTTTGGATGCAGAAAAAGGATTAGTCCAATGTCATATTTTTGGGTCGGGATACCACATCCAACTAAACCAACCCAGACCCAACCAGACAGATCCAGACCCGACTTGTTGCCTACCCTAAGTCCCGTTGACAAACCCAAACCAAACATACCTGGCTCAATAAGGGATCCAGAACCGGGACCGGGGGTTTGGGCTACCGATTAACAGCCGCACCACCGCGCATGAAGCGAATCATCGTTCTTCTCTTTAAAAGCGGTCCAGGGAGCACTTCTCATGAGAGATCTCTCTCTACACTCCCACTCTTGATCCTGACTTCGCCTTTGCAACCCCAACCCTTGGTCAAAAATATTCAGAGATGGACGTCTTGAAGACGCCATGACCGTTTCAGAGGGCACCCACCTCCATGAATCTCTTTCAAGTGTCTTCTCCTCAAATCCAATGCAATTTTCTGCCGTACTGGGGTTTTTAGCAGGATGTAAACAGCTCCATTTTCACATTATGATAACCCAACTCCAACTTTCTTTCCAAAATCGATATCTTAACTTGTATATCAAATGTGGTTGCTTGAGAGATGCACGCCAAGTTTTTGATGAATGCCAAAAGAAACATTGTTTCTTGAGATATGGTTATTTGAGGTTTTTTTTTTGAAGCATAGTGGGCTTATAGAACTTAAAAGTCTGAGAACCAAATCAAATTGTTGGATACATTACATAGTAGAAAGTGAAAGTGAGATTTGGACCCTGTTTTTCTTTCGTGAAATTTTGCTAGAAAGACTTGGCCTACACTGCATAACCATGATTGGTGTTCTTGGTTCTTGTCTCTGTTTTCAAATTTGATAATCAAAGGTATCTTCCCATGTTTAAATTGAGATTTGATATGGACACATTTTTTGTACTGCTCTTATTGATCGCCATGCAAAGTTTAACAACATGAAATGTGCTGGACTTGTATATACACCATAGAATCCAAGCAGTTGGTTTTATGAAATGTCATGCTTTATGGTTATTCTCATGATACTTATGGGAAAGAAGCATTTAGGGTCTTTAAATTCATGTGAACTGAAGAATCGGTGGGTGATTGTTTTAACTTTAGTAGTCTATTGAATGCATGTAGGGGACTAAGATCCCAAGCAATGGAAACAAATACATGTTTGTATTCTCAAGCTGTATCTTGATTTGGATTTTTTAGCATCAGGTACACTTGTTCATATGTATGCAAAGAATGCGGATTTAGGGGTTACAAGAAAGGGTTTTGATTGGATGGTACTTCATAATGTGCTATCTTGGACTATGATTTTGAGTTATGGCCAAAATGGCTGAGGCTAGGAGGCTTTGAAGCTTCTCGGTAGAATAGTTTGAGATGGGTTTGGACCAGGTTAGCCCGCTTTGACAGTTCGGTGAGCATTCTTTGCTGATGAGCAGGCATCATTAACTCAAAAGAGACATTTTTGGTACATACGCATATCCAATATTTCTAGATTTGGCTCAGGCCTCAGACTCAGCCCTGACTGCAGCCAAGTAACTCAGTTGAGTCCAACTAGACTCGGCTAAGCATGTACATGGCTCAAAAATCCCTAAAAAAATAAAAAATAAACAATCGAAAAAACAAAATAAAACTTTAAAAGTGAAACAAAACTAAACACAACATAAAGAATCCAAATAAGCTGAAAAAAATATAAAAGACATGGATTTAGAAAAAAATGATCTAGGTTTGGACACATTTCAGAAAAGAAAAATGGGGCACTTGACAACAAAAAATCACAAATTATTGTAAAACTCATCAAAATTACATATATAATTTTTATACATTGATCCAACAAATTTCTATAGTTATTTTCTTTATATTTTTAATATGCCCGAATTGTACCCATTTTTATATTTTTAATATGCCCGAGTTGTACCCATTTTTATATTTTTAACATGCCCGAGTTGTACCCAAGAACTTGGCTCGGCCAGGCGCCAGGTCCAAGTAACTTGGCCCAGTCTCAGTGAACTCGGCCCAGTAGTTAAACACTGGCCATATTATAAAATGGGTTTGAGTATTTCTTATCAGTGCTTTATTTGATAGTGTTGATTTATGCATACTCCAAATACGTCTACGTAGTTTGTATCTAGTGCTCAAATTGATTCCAAGCCTGATAGTGTTGCATGGACTCCAATGATAAATGCTTGTGCATTTAATGGTATGTAAGGGACACCAATAAGCTTTTCGACTAAATGCTGGATGAGGTTTTTGGCCAGACCATATACTGTGGGGGTTCTTGCTGCTTGTAGTGTTGTAGGCCTGATCAATCAGCGCTTACGCTACTTTTCTTCTATGCAAATGTCTATCAAATAAAGCCTGATTCAGAATACTATTCTTGTTTGGTCTCCTTAGTCATGTGTGGCAATGAGGCTTTCAATGTTTTGATGAGTGTACCCTTTTATCCAAGTGCTAGTTTATGATCTTGGTTCTTGTAGGCTCCATGGCAACTTGGAGTTAGTGAGATTTGCAGCATGAAAGCTTTTTGAAATGAAACAAAATGAACCCTGGAGTTATGCTTTGCTGTTCAATATATATAATACTCTTGGGAGTTGAAGTGATGTAGCTATGGTTTGAAAAATGATTAGAGAGTCCCATGGTGCAGCCAGATTTCGAGGGATGAATCTCACCCACAAGCCAAAGAGATCTACGAATTCTTGGAAGTACTAAATGAGCTAATGGATGAGGGAATTTCTTTTGTTTATCGCAATGTGTTAAATGATGTTGGGTATGAATATAGGGTAAATTGATTGAAATTAAAGGATTATTATGGAGGACGAGTAGTCCACTTTAATGCTTATAAGCTTATGGTTTGATAATAGAGCTAGTGGAACTGATGTCCCGAAGTTTGAATCCTGTTCTACCTTGGATGTCAAAATTTGATCAGTGGTTGCTTTTGCACTGGACCTAAACTGATTCTGAGGTAAGAAAATTAAATGAAGCTCTAAGGAAATATTACGTAAGTACAAAGCACTTTGGGAATCTCAGTCATAAAGATAGAAATCTCACATCTTGGACATGGATTGTTGTTGCATTATAATTGTTTTCAAATGATGCTTCTTCAACTTTTGTCATTTATATAAACCAAAAGAGCACTTCTTTTTTCTTTTCCTTTATTCTATTTGTAGAAAGACAGTGCTGATGTGTTATATTCTCATAGACTACATGGGAACTCAATCTTATCTTCTTATACAATACCTCAGGTGTATATGAGCATGTGTTTTCAGATCTCCCAATACTCAAATTCTATGTCATATTTTTTTATCAATTATTGAATACTTCATCTTGATTGGCCGTTGTTCACTAGCTCTGTGCATCCGTTTCAGGTACATTTCTCGCCAACATTGGCCACTAGAGACAAAACATAAGGTACAAGTTCTCCTCTTAATGATTCCCAATATTTTTGTACATATTACGTGTCAGGCTCATTTTTTTCTTTCTTTTCTTTTTTCCCATTGGACAATAGCTATTCAACATTTGTAGACCCCACCATAATTGGGAGCAGAAGTGGGTTCGAAGCAAGGGAGTGATTGCTGGCTAGAAGCTCCCTAGTTTGGGAGTGACATAAGAGTGGGTACAAAAACATATAAGAAATAGTAAAATTTAAAATTATTTAGAATTTATTTATTATTATGGAAGGGTTTCTATGAGACCCTCCTTACTCATTGTGCATATGCATCCCACCTATGAAGTCCATCTTCAAGATTGATTTCGACCAAATTTCTAAGAGATCCATGATTTAGGCCATGGTGAACTTGAATATGAAATGGGCACCGAGAAAAGTGACCACGAAAAAATATACAAGCTGGACAAGAAAACACACAAATGGAAACAGCCTGTAAGATGCTGACATTTAAGGATGTAGGACAGCGCAAAAAGGCACTCGGCTTAAAATTACTCCCTGGAGGCTCCTTGCTTAGCTAGTGCATTGGTCACTTCGTTGGCCTCCCTCCAGGTATGTGTCCAGACCTACGTATGCCTGCAAAGATCGGAAATCTCGTCAAAGATTGGCAAAAATCTCCATGGTGGGGTAGATTCTCTGGTGGCCCAGGAGATGACATTCTTGGAGTCCATATTTGGGTGGCCTTTTCTCAAGGTCCATCTTCAATATGGAAGTTCGTGCTGCGTCCTTTGACTTACAAAAAACTTTTCCTATAATTATATCATTAAATCATCTTTGAATGACATCACAAAATCCATAAAAAAAATTACGATTCCTTATCCTTTGAAAATTTATAGGTATTTATTATACTCATTAATGTATTTTGTTTTTACAGCATCATTATCTATTTTGGAATAAATAATAAATTTGCCATTTTTTTTGGAGTTTGAATCCTAATTAGACTTAATTTAAATGTTTTGATTTTGTAAAATACTTAGGAAGTTGGATTGTCCAATTTAATCTCAATTTATTGCATTTTAAAGTTTTTAGTTATTTTCATCTCTTTTCTTAAGTTACATTTAATGTCATCCTTTTCTTAAGGCAATCTACATATCCATTATAGTCCATTTTGCTTATCTTTAAACATTATTTAGTTCTTAACTCAATATTTATTAGGCCATTTTTTTTAAGGTAACTTACACATTAAGTAGTGGGAGTAAGGACCATGAATCATGATCCCATTTACGAAATCCCATGCTAAATGGGATTAAGATTCCATATAGTCAGGGGCGAGCTCCCTATAAAGATCAGCTCTGAGAATGCTGAACTGTGTTCTAGAGCAGGACCATCCCCTATGGAAGGCACTCCTGGTAACAATGAATCCTAGCATGCCATATGTGCTTTTTTTAGATTGCTTTTGATTTAGAGGGTTCATATGAAGAGCCTCATTCCCCATGTTCATGTTAGCTGCATATATATCTTGAACCCCAGCCAAAGCAGAGGATTCCTCTGAGTTTTAAGTGACAAATGCTCATGGAGGTAAGCTCAATCCATATCTTTAAACATGTTAGCTCAACTAGAATCTGTTTCCTTATTCTTCTATATTTTGTGAACATTTTGTCTATAGTTTCTTCTTTGGTTGGTGCATTTTTAAGAAACTTTTTTTTTTCTCTAAAAGCTTTCTCGTTCATATTAAATATTTTCTCATGGAACCCATTACTTTTAGGAAAACATTGAGCAGATATCATGTTTGCTGGGTGGAGCACCAAGTGGTGTGCCGAGCGGAACATGCCCTCATTATGTATTCTTCTTCTATAATAAGAATACAAATAACAACAACAAAAATTAAAAATAATATAAACTTGTAAGAAGTAGGTATAAAATTTTTGCATGCAATTGGGATGTGTTCTATAATTCTTTGTGAATTTTTATTGTCAAATTCCCTCTTTTTTTTTTTTTTTTTTTTAGAGCTTTCTAAAATATACCCAACTATAAATCAATAATTTCTAAATCCTTTTGCTTTTATTTTTTTACATTTTTTTTTAATATTGGGATTCAGTATGCTAATTTTTGGTTTTGATTCACTTATAAAAGTTTGTAGTTTATTTTTTAGCATTTTTTAAAGTTTGACAGTTTTTTGGGCCTGTACATTACTTGAAGTGGACTCTGCTGAGTACCCTAGGCTGAGCCAAGTAAGGAAACATTGATAATAATAACAACAATTATCATTATTATTATTGTACTATTATTGGTGGTGATCGTAGTGGTAGTAGTAGCAGAGCAGCGGCAAGTAGCAACAGCAGCTGCAACAACAGTAGTAGTAATGGTGGTGATATCAGTAATAGTGGAGTAGCAGTGGTAATGGTAGAAGTAGTGGTAGGGGTGGCGATCGTAGCAGTAGCAGCAGTAGTAGGCTTATAGATAGCAAAGCTAATGCAAAAGAAAATAGGGATACATAAAGTTGCCCAAACAAGAATGACACAAAGTAGGACACATACTATGTGAGCAGGATAAAGTAAATGCATTTGCTACATTAATGAGTTTCAAGTTGGCTCCCCCTTGGCCAAGATGTTGGGTTCGGTGTTGTCTCCTCTGAGAATGTGTTCTCAACAGAGATGCACATGCTACTGCTAATGCCACTAATTTTTACAAAAATGTCTGCTAGCCTCCAAGGGAAAGGTGAGTCTATGCATTCCCAAGATTAAATCACAATTCACCACCGTATAGCTGCAAAAATTCTGGGGAAAACCCACAAGCTAGTCACCTCAGCAATACTAGTACCCCCCATTTCCCCATTTTGACCTGCATAGGCCAATTGTGTACCATGGAGAATCCTGGAAGGTACACTTGACAATTAAAAAAGAAAAGAACAAAAAATACCAAAAGATACACTCCTAATCTTTTCTTCTCAGATGCACCACAAGATTGTGGTTGCACCATTGAACACTCCTTTTGCATGAGGGGGTCCCTCTGATAGAATTGCATAATTGATGTTGGCCATGCCAAAGAGAAATAGGGAAAAAGTTGCTTCTCTAGTTATTTCCTGTTTAAGCTGACACTATGTCTTTCAAAGGGCTCATGTATCTAACACAATTTAGACATTTGGACCGCTCTATTCGAATGTGTCTAGAAGCAATTATGCATTAGTGTTCCCAGAGTTTTTGCTTCATGAGTTCATATTTTTGCTTGAAACTTATGCCACTATTTATAGAGATTTGGTGAATCTATGGTCTTTTGAAGGTGATATATAATTGGAACTAGAAGGCTGACAAGGGAAACACTATTTAAATGTTGGCCGTTATTTTTCTTTCTGAATTCAACCCATTGAAAGGGTGCCTGAAAAATCTGAAGTCTAGGCCTAGGAGTGGGGCCCAGGTAGGATGTTGGGAATGGCTTCAAACAGGTGCACTGGGGATGTTAGTTATGGCATGAAATGTGTGTTCAAAGTTTTCAGCCATGTTATGAGTTTTGTCTCTGGAAAATATGATGTTACTTGAAAGCAGTCTATTAAATCCCAGCAAGCTATATCGGGAATTGCCAATCTGTTTCAGATTCAGTGGGTGGGTGATCGAAGTCCTCTCCACCTCAAATTCCCCCAATTTTATTTTGTATAATTCATTTGATCTGATTTTTCACTGTTTTGGCTGAGTTGGATCGCAGATCCAGCTGATCCAGGTTGCTATGGTAGATGGGCGATCCAAACCTTATTCTGGCTTTTAAAGCACTGCTTGGAAGTATACGTTAGGCATGACTTCAAACATAATCCATGCTCATTTTACCCACTGCTTTTCTTTCAACCTTCACGTGAGGAGATGGAAAGAACTCTGCAGTAATAACTGATGGTTCTGAAACCTTAATAACTGATGGCCCTTGCCAAATATCTTATAGAAAGGTGACTCCTGCACTAATTAATGGAGCTCACATGTCATGCTTAGTTGAACAATGTGAGATGAAATGCATGGTCGTCCACATCTACAGACATCCCCCTTGAGAATACCTTTGAGTTTTGTTGGAATATTAGTGTGAAAATTTGATATTTTATCATATATTATTATTTTGCAGTTTCCCTTTAGGCGTGTTTCTGTCTGACTTCTTATACTCGAAATATTTAATAAATGTCTCTGAATAGATATATGTCTATCATATAACAATCAGCTTCAAACAACAACAACAATAACAAAAATAAAAACAATAGTGAGCAAGGGCCTCATATTTAGTGGGTTTAAGTGGGTTGGCAACTTAGTTGAAATGTCACTCTAACTTTTGAAAGATATGAGGATTTATGGCCTCACTGAGGGTATGACCTTTGATAGAGCAGAATGGCGGAACGGGATCTATGTAGCCAGCCCCAAATGATCGGAAAAAAACTTTGATGATGATGATGATAATGAGTCTACAAGATTTTTTTAGGGGGTTTTAATAATTCCAGGAGTGGATGGGTGGTATAGCTATACTGACTTATTAGTTGTCACTGGGGTTATTTTCTTGTTCTAAATAGTTTAAGCAGGCATTGTCCATAGGCTCAAGACATGAAGGCCCACGTATACTTGTTGCTTTGTTTCCCAATAATGTCGTCCTCTTGCCTCTGGCAATGAGCCCCAACAACCAACTAACCTCGTTAAGTCAGCTTAATGAACAAGAAGGGAAAATTAGAGGATACACATGATGTGTATTGGCCATTACCATTCATTATATTGTCTTCAAGTAGATATTTTCCATTAGCGGTAGATACTTTAGGAAAATGGTTTGATAGGCTGCAGCCTATCAAAGTAAGTAAAGCCTCACATTGTAACTCACATGAGATTACAATTCAAGCATTGGAAAACCTTTACATCGATCATCTTGATTTCAACGTTATGATTGTAAAAAGAAATTAAGATTTCAAGCTAAAAAAATAGTGTGAAAAGAAATTAGGATTTCAAGCTAAAAAAATAGTGTATAGTATAACTAATTATCTAGACTGTCCATTTTACTCTAAAAATAAATTTTCACAGATCTGCAAGATCTATACCATTTTTTTGGTTTCAAATTTTATTGTTGGTATTAGAAATTGATTTTAGAATCATCATGGAGATTTTTTTTTCTTTCTGGATGAGGATTTGAGGTGAGGCTTTATTTTATTTTCATAAAGCCTAGAAACCTCATCCGATACTTTAATGTTTTACTGTTTTAAAAGTATCTAATTCGGTTTGGATTCAATGGGTGACATGCTGGTTCCCTCGTGGAATTGGGGAGTGGCTCTAATCTCTCTTGTTTACTTAGGGGCCGTTTGGGTATATGGAAATCTATTACGTGACAATAGATTACAAAGAAATATAAGATTTACACTATTTGGGTACACTTTCATAGTAAGGAAATGGAAAGACATTAATCTTTGGAAATCTTTCGCATGCGTCTCTTTGCCCTATCTCCCCTTAAAAAACATTTCCCTCTCTCAAATATACGTTGTACCTTATCATTATCAAGGTATATATTGTATAATTATTAAGGTAAGTAGAAAGTGAAAGTAGGGGATATGAAAATGGGAATCTAAATTGATTTGAACAATTATTAAGGTAAGTAGAAAGTGAAAGTAGGGGATATGAAAATGAGAATCTAAATTGATTTGAACAGGTGTACAAGGACATTTTTATTGCAATCATAATAAAAAACTTCTACATCCTCTCTCCCCAATTGGTTGTAGCCCTCATTGATTAGAAGACAATTTTCTACGGCAATCGTAATAAAATTTTTTCTACCTCCCTCTATTCCCAATGGGTTGTAGCTCATTATGAGCTCCCGTATAAAAACAAAAATAATAAAAATAATCGTTAATAATTGATGAGAAATTACACAACACAATCATAATAAAATATTTCACACAACATAATCATCATAACAGATTAGTAAAAGCTCAATTGAAACAAGATACGCTTTTGGTCTCCTCCAATGCTTCAAAATTTTCTACTGTAATTACCAAATCTTCTAGTTTACTAATCAAATTTCTTCCCATTTTTTAACTTCTACCATAAAGATTTTGATTTCGGTATTATAAATTTATTGATTATTTGAAATTATATCTAGAGAAACATTTGAAAGACTTCTATAAAAAATAAATAAAAATAATACATTTTTCATATTTTTTCCATACATAGCCAAACAAAAACAATGTATTTATCAAGTTGCATCTAAATACTACCATGACCATCTATTTGGAGGTAATGTATTACGCAGTAATTTATTATGCCCGTAATATATTTCATATACAATATATTTCTTGGTATCCAAACGGCCCCTTAATGGCCCGATAGGCACCCTAATTTGGCTAGGGGATTCCCAAGTACCTGCAACCCTAAACTCTAGGGCTCCAACCCAAACACCCCTAAACATAACAAAGACATAGGGGATTCCCAAGTACCTGCAACCCTAAACTCTAGGGCTCGAACCCAAACACCCCTAAACATAACAAAGACATAAATGCAATCAAATCCGACAAATGATTTGAAAGTTATGGCCAAAACAAAATTATTCGCTAAAACTCCATTTTAGTCCTCCATGTACTTAAGAGTTGCATGAGTCCCACACGTGACGCATTCAGAGTTGCCCTTACTATAACTGCACCGCGCCGGGTTTTTTCCCTGATTTTTTTAGGAACTCCAATTTGTACAACTATGAAGGCGTTACTGGTGCGTGCCCCCAAAAACTGACTGAAATGCCCCAACACTTCCTTTCTAATTGTCCAAAGGCCCAATGTTGGCCGCTCGATCAAAGTCGTGTGCAATTCTTAAGTGGTGCTTCGGTTGATTGCTCAGATTGAGCCGCCAGTTGGGGAAGGGCAGTTATATGCCTCTAGGCCTATGAAAGTCTCCCTCGGACCTTTTTAAGGTCCTGAATGTGAGACCCTTTTGACCGTTTTTCCTTTCAAACTCTAGGAACCCTACGGCTCTAAACTCTATCCTATACCTCCGGACCTTGAAATCTTTTTCTTGCAACTCAGCCTATAGCCTACCACAAGGTGTACCCTACACTGTCATAGATAAGTGGAACAGTGGAAGCCATTGCTTTAAAAAGCGAACCGCCCAGCACTTGGGCGGCTGCCTAGGCGGTCCAAAAGGCCTGGGCAGAGTGCTCAGCCCTAGGTGGCCAAACTAGGCGGATATCCTTGGGCGGTGCATGCGCCTCGCCCACCTAGGCGCCCGCCCAGGGTGTGCGTCCCGCCTAGGGGCGGAAACGCCTAGGCACCCGCCTAGGGTGTGCACCTCACCCAGGGGCGGAAACCCCCAGGCACCTACCTGGGGCGTACTGCCCAGGGGGGGAAACGCCTAGGTGCCCGCCCAGGGTGTGCGCCCTGCACAGAGGCGGAAGTGCGTGTCGCTCATCACTGGCGATGATGCCTCTCGGCTTGATAATTTTTTTCGGCTTTTCTTCACCAGATTTGCCATGAAAGATCTTGGAGAGTTACATTATTTCCTTGGCGTGCAAGTATACCGTTCTAAGGATGGCCTATTCCTCAGTCAACATAAGTATGCATTAGATTTGCTGGACCGATCCCATATGCTTGGTGCAAAGCCCTGTTCTAGTCCCGTTGCTTTTGGCTCGAAATTCTCTAAAACAGATGGTGATTCTTTACCTGATGCCAGTTTCTATTGCAGTATTGTTGGAGCTCCTTCTGCTCCTTACTCTAGCCCTTTATATGAAAAGCTAAGTCAGAAGTGTCTCTCAGGGCGCATGCCCTGCCCAGGGGTGGAAACGCCTAGGCAACCGCCCAAGGTGTGCGCCCCGCACAGAGGCGGAAATGGTGCGGCTCTTTAAGGGTATTTTTGGGTCATTTTTTTATTAGTAAAGGGAAAAATTGTGGGTTTTCGGTTCATTTGAAAGCTAGAGACTATTTTAGATACAAAAAACCCAAAACAAATTTTTTTTCTATTGGCCCGCCTGGGCAGCCGCCTAAGCGCTAAGCGGCCTGGACCCCCCGACCATCTAGGTACCACCTAGCGCTTTTTGAAACACTGGTGGAAGCCAATCGAAATCAATCTAGTGGAGGGCCAATCCCTCTGGATGTCCTTGTTCGTTAAATATTGAAGGCAGGTTATCGGAACCCTTTTGGATTCATAAGAAAAGAAGTCTCGAATAGACAAAGTGGGAGTAACTTATTGAATTTATCAAATAGAACCTCTTCAATGAATTTCTAAATAGAGAGTAAAATAACTTATTGAATTTATCAAATAGAACCTCTTCAATGAATTTCTAAATTGAGAGTAAATTTCTAGCATGTTATATTTTTTAAAACAGAAGTTTTGCATAATCCAAGCCATGCTAAAATACTAAAAGAAAAGGTGAAGTGTAACATACATCATTTGTATGCTATAGTACCACTTGTTACTTAGATCAATATAGGCGATGAACAATTGTACTAATTGAATTCCCATATGCTCAAGGTTATGTGGTCAGGCTAACGGGGTGTCACAACATGACATCTTTTGAGTTTTATTCATATCATGAGTAGATGTGGCAATCCTCGTATAGTAGAGCATAATGCTTGCTACGCTTATATATATATATATATATAAACAGAGAGGGAGAGAGAGAGTACGGTTTGTATAGAGCCTAGGCTCTAAACAATCAAATTAGAGCATACTTTCAAATAGTGTCGAGAAATGCTATTTTAATACTGAAAATCTTTGTGATAGCCTTAACATATATTTTTATCTTATTTATAAATTTAAAGCTTAAAAAATAGTGTAGATCTACATATTTATGAAAACTTGAAAATGACAATCCAAAAAAGCATTTCAAAATACATTATATTCAAAACTTGAAATGCATTTGTTTTCTCATGTCCATGCATCTTGATGTCGAGATGATCAATTTGAAGATATCTGGGCATCGAAACATCCTTTTCTAGTGAATTTGTTTTTATTTTTATGCTAAGGTTTGCTTAAATTTACCCTGACCAAAAAAAAAAAAACAACAATATCATGGAGAGGGCACAAGAATGCTAAACCTGGCTGATAGTCTGCCAGATCACTTTGATTACCATGCCAAATTTCTTCTCGAAAGGCAAAGAGAAAAACATTGTTTTCTTCTTTAGCTTTTTAGTATAGAAGAATACAAGCCCAAACTTTTCAACATAATATAGTATTCTTGAATGATTTGCATAGAAACGCATGTACGAATCTGTTAGGACACAATTTTGAGCCTTTTTGCTGCCTGAATGAACTCCAATATCACTTGTACTTCATCCACCTCCTTCATGCACATCACCAAATTTTAAACACAACGCCATCAGTTTTATATTTATATAATTTATAACTTATATGTTTATATAATTTATATCCTTGAATTCATATTTCCTAAAGTAAATAAAAGATGGAAGAGAATGTCCTTTATTATTGTTGAAGGAAGAAGAAGAATGTCCTTATGTTCCCATGATAAGAATATCAGAGATTCCTCGAAACCTCATAGTTTCAAATCCTCAAACCGAGTTTTTATACATCAGGAAAAAAAAGAAAAGAAAAAAAGAAGCCCAAATTGGTAGAGATCACATGCATTTAGTAATTGGCAAAGGGGAAGTTATCAGACTACCCATAAGAGATGCACTATTTAATATATAACATATTTGCATCCATTATAACACATGATCATGTCTTATCATGAGTATTTTGATATTAAATCAAACAATGTGGGTAAAACTAGGATCCATAAACTCCCATCGAACATTATAGGCATCCTCCTTTTTAAGAAAAACTTCACTTTAGAAGAGAAAATTTTTGCTGCAATTTTGTATGAAGGGCTGATGAAGATGATCCATATCGTCATAAATACATGACCCATGTGAATATAATCCAATGCATGACCACGAGGTTATCACCATCCCACAATTTCTGGACAGTGATGAAGTGGGTCCCACCTAGAACGCCTCCAAGTTTTTTGACAAAACGGTTACCTTTGTAGCTGTACAAAGGAATACCGTTCGCCTTTGACAGTGTCTTAGTACGATAGTAGAAACGGTTTTGCTCGCGACGACTAAAACGCTGTCAAATCCATTAGGTTGGATGGTGATAATCCACAATGTATCTTGACTATATGGATCACATCATATTGCTCTTCCAAAAAAATTTCAATCCTTGAGAAGCATGCCCATAAAAACTCATTATCTTTGAAATGTAGGTAATGCAGTTGAATTTTCAAATTTCAATTAAGATTACCCATTTTATCATATTTCCCAAAGAACAATTCAAAAGGAGGAATGGACCGATACCTGTTCTATGAAATGTTGCTCAACCACCTGAACCAATTGTTCTTTTGATGGGTTTGGAGGAAAACCCACCTGCAAATTCATTCAAGTAAGTAAAGAGTATATGTTTATATTGGACATTTTAAGAAAACAATTATGGGAGTAATGGTAAATGTTATTGTAGGTGAGGGTAAAAGTAATAGAAACTTACAATATTAAAGTGCGTCAAGTAGCTCCACAATGTTGCCATATCTAGTTTTGCCAAGTTCACCCTCTGATTTATCACAAGGGATTTAATCAAGTTGAAATTTTGGGAGTCCACAGGTTAAAAATATATAAAAAGTTTCCAACAAAATAAGATTGACAAAATACCCCTACAAATTTTAGGCTATTTCAATCATTTTTATAATAAATATTTGCTTTACATTTAAATAGCATTTATGTATACTATGATTAATAAAAAATAAAAATAAAATTTTAATACACGTTCACAATTGCCATATCTAGTTTTGCCAAGTTCACCCTCTGATTTATCACAAGGGATTTAATCAAGTTGAAATTTTGGGAGTCCACAGGTTAAAAATATATAAAAAGTTTCCAACAAAATAAGATTGACAAAATACCCCTACAAATTTTAGGCTATTTCAATCATTTTTATAATAAATATTTGCTTTACATTTAAATAGATGCATTTATGTATACTATGATTAATAAAAAATAAAAATAAAATTTTAATACACGTTCATAATTCACAATTGTCTGATCAAGATTGGATGTTTGAGAGTGTGTAGCATTAGATTGACATGAACCTTGGGGTGTGCATAGCTTTGATAGGGGCGCATTTGATAAAATAACAGAATATATTTTGGATAAAAAAAAATTGACAAAATACTACTAAAATTTGTCAATTTTAAACAATTTATTTTAGATAAAATAAATTTTTGTTATTTTTTTTTACAAATGCAACTTCTTTAGGTCTAGATACGCTGAGATTGCACATTTATTTATAGAACTTAAAATTAAAATACAAAACACATTCTCTACTCTCTCATCAAGATTGGCTAGTGGAGAGCCTGATTAAAATCACTATTCAACTGCCACCATTTTGTAGCTTATATTAGTAAGACACCTGCGATAATGATATAAATATAATGAAAAATAATAAAGCAAATACGAAAAGATAATAAAATGAATTAAAGCTATTATTTATTAACGTATTTATTCACATAGGTATAGAAAGAGTTTTGATTTGGTAGGGAATATTATCTATGTACAACGTTATTAAGTCGCCGTTAAGGCATCGAACAAAGGGTCCCCATCGGTAGGCTCTAGGAATAAATGGAGTTATGGGTAGAGAAAATAATAATTATTATGAAATACTCACATGTGTTAGATTTATTTTATAGAAATGTATATAATAAGACAATTTACTTTTATTTTATAGATATGTATATAATAAGACAATTTACTTTGATACAAGGAAGTTACAATCATTATAGAACGTTAGATGTAAAACAATGGTTGGATATGTGGTACAAAATAATACAATTTATCTAATCTTGTGTTGTACTTCATTTTGTCAAATTTCACATCCAATGATTACGAGTGATAGTGATTTTTTTGTACCAAAAATAAATGGTTTGACCATATACAATCGAAATTGTTTACAAAGCGTGTGGTTGGATATGTGACATTAGAAATCCTTGTACAATCTCTTATCTTATAGCCTCGATATGTGACATTAGAAATCCTTGTACAATCCCTTATCTCATAGCCTATTAATTTAGCATCTTGGCCTATGGATTTTAAGAAGATGCTTTGTAGCTTATATTAGTAAGACACCTGCGATAATTTTTCAATTTTTTAGGTATAATGTTGTTTATTTAGAAGGTTATAGGATGGATATGGAGAAAAGGCTAGACTCAATTTTTAACTCTTTAGAAAACTAGAGATATTTTCTTTTTGATGGGTAACTAGAGAGATTTTAGGATATGAGATTTTAAAAAATTCTTCCAATTTAGCTCATTTATTATTATTTTTTTATAATTTATATTTCTTGAATGGTTCATACTATAACTAATATGTGCAAAGCACATGCAAAATACTGGTATATATAATACATATGAAATAGAAAACAATTTGTCCATACAAATTAATTATAACAATTTGTTATCAAGTTAAAATCTACATTTCTCATACCAAACCTAACAAATTTCATATAAAATTACCCATAGATATCACGTAGATAACTATCTTTCCTTTTCTTTTTTTGTTTTTGAAAACGTTTAACTATTAATTTTATTAGATAAAGGAGCAAAGCATCACAAATACAACAATAAATAAAGAGAGGTAGAAGAAGGCTAAGCAGTACTCCCTACTTCTAGTTAGGTCGATTCCCTTGACTTTCAAATACAATATAAAATCCAACATCGAAGGGTCCTAAACTACTAACTTCTAAGGCCCTAACTAAACCATACAAAGAACCATCAAAGACATCCACCACAAAAATTCTACTGCGGACTGTCCAACCCAAGGTTAGGGTGGCGCACAATCTATTGAAACGATGTCTCTCTCGCTCTGTCATCCTCTTTCCTCTCCCTTGATGACGTTCTCTACGTCCTCTGGCTCTTTCTCTTTCTTCGTCATCCTCCCTCCTCTTCCTTGATTTCTCTTCCGCTCCAAGGCTAAGAGGGAGGCAGAGATCCCAAACGTGAAATCGAACACAGAGGTTCAGGACTTGGGCAAGTTTTGCTTGGAAACATACAACCAAGATGTGAGCGTCAGATTGGCTTTAGTAAAAAGTAAGATAGAGAGAGATGAGGTATGGACGAGCGAGCATGAACCACCGTTTACAACAACCTCTCAGCTGGAATCAAATCGTAGATCTGTATCACAAAACCTACCCACCACCACCATGTTCCTTGCCTCTTCCTCTTTGTTTCCCCCCTCCCCCTCCTAAGCCGACAATATCGAAAACAAACAAGCCCAAGAAAGCCTCTTTCTTCCGGGTGGTAGCCTCTGTGAAACCAACAATCACCACTCATCAAACAACCGTTACGGCCCCTGATGCGCAAGCTCCTCCACCAAAGTCAGCTCCTCGTTTCTCCCCTTAGGTGTTTCAACCCCTCTTGAGGAGACGACATAACTGAAATCCAAACTCTTGGCATCCCTATTTGAAAGGTTCCAACCTAGACGAGATGACATTAGAGGAATTGAAAGATGGGCCCCACGCCATTGGGGGGAGCCCAATCTTATCTGCAGACATTTTTCAAATGGTGAATTCCTTTTTTCATTCATGTCACCAGAAAGCGCTCAACGCATTCTACAGGAGGACAACTCCTTTGCCTTCAAAGGGGCATCTTGTCTCCTAAGTGCCTGGTCACTAAAGAGGAATCTTTTAGCAAACAAAGAGTCTATCCACTGGATATCCCTCGAGATGCTCCCTCTCGGATCAATCTGTATCCTTCTGGAAGTCCTGGACACTAGCCTCATCCCTACAACAGTCTGGCTAGAAGTAGATAACCTTTACTTCTCGATCTTGATCTCTTGGTAGAGAGCCTGCCACCCCACCTCTCCCCACTTCTTCAACCCTTCAGAACCTATTCAACCACCTGAAAAATCCTCTCAACCTTGGTTCACAATGTTGAGGAAAGTTCGCCACTGCAAGAGGCGCCGTCGGCAACCCCTCGACCTGGCCACCTTCAGAGCGTGTCACCAGGGCCACCTCCCCCCTCCATGACAGGCTGCCCATTGGCGCCCACGTATCGATACTCTCAGTCAGTCTAAGTAGAGGGGGGAGGTTATCGAGCTGGCAAAGCAGCCTACGGTTTCGACGCTCCTAATAGGCTCAATCACTGAAGGTGGCGTTCTCGCTGGCCCATCTCTGTCTTCCCCTACCTTTTCCTCTTCCTCCTTTACCTACCACTTTCCCCCAGCTCTCTTGAAGAAACACCCTCGTGTCTCTATTCTTCGATGGTGACACCTGACCTCCCCTACCCCCACCTAACCCTCAGCCTTTGATGACCTCACCCGGCTCCCCCCCCATCTTCCCCCTTGTCGACCCCCATGCTACCCTCCTCTAGGGTTCTCCTATTACCCCTCAAAATCCTGAAGCCCTCACCGCTACCTCCCCTCCCTATGAAGCCAGACTAGGAACCCACTCCTCTGGTCCCATATCCCTCTCTTTCTTTCTCCTCCAAAAACCATTCTTAGCCCTTGGCTTTTCTACCCACACCCTATAAAATGGATAGGCACTTGCTCCCCTATGGAATAGTGGCGGTTCATACAATGGACCCCTCTCCCCTTGACCTAGCTTTAATCTCCTCCTTACTAGCCCCTCACCTTTCCTATACCCCCCACCTAGTCCATATCTGCAGAGTTCGCACCCTACACTTCGCCTTTCCACCCCTCCTCCAGTGGCCTTACCCCCCGTATACTTCCTACCAACCCCACCACTTTCTCACCTACCTCCCCTCATTTTATAATGGAACCCTATTCCCTGTTTACCCAGTCCTTCACCCTTCCCCTCCTCCCTCCTCCTCCCTTAGTTTCCCACCCTTTCCTCCTTCAACCCGGGTCTAGGGGCTGCTAACCTCTGGTCCCCCTAGCTTTTCAGAACCACATCTCGTAGGAAGGCTCTCTCCCCCCTCAGAGTCGACTGAAGGTGAGATTTAAAGGACATAGAGAACTTTTGAAACTGTTCTCCTTTATTTCCTATGAGGGACAACCTGCAGACGACCTCCCGACCTCTATTATCACCACTCTTCCGAGGAGGTCTTCAAGATTGGCCTCCTTTTCCACTCACATCCTTGAACCATGAAGATTCTTACGTGGAACATAAGAAGGTTGGGACACTCGTCCAAAAGGGATGCTGTCAAGGACTTTACCTTAAAACACCTTCCTGCGATACTTGCTCTCATCAAAACTAAACAACCAGAGTCCACTCTTTAGCTCATACGCCAGGTGTGGGGTAGAAGACCCTGCCAGTGGGTCTCTCTGCCAGCGAACGATGTATCAGGGGGCATTTGGGTGGTCGGGAACCCTTCAGATCACACCCTCCACTCCTCCCTGATTGGGGAGTTCTCTGTCATTGTACTCCTTTCCCGCACATCAGGCGGCTTCCCATGGAAATTTACGACCATCTACGACCCGAATTCAACCCCCCTCAGACAATGACTTTGGGCAAAATAGGAACCAGTAGCGTCCCTACCCCACCCAGTGTGGTGTATAGGTGGAGATTTTAACATCACAAGATGGTCCCATGAGAGGAATTCC